AGACTGCCATGAGACACACAGTCCAACAAACACAGTCCTGACCAATGCACAGCCTGCCCTGACACAGAGCTGAGCCACACACACAGCACCACACAGAGCCTTGACCTCACATACAGCCCAATCTCACACAGTGCAGGGACATGCCGTTCACCTGGGCAGGGAGAGACAGCGTGCCCTGACACAGAGCCCAAAAAACACAGCCCTGACCAACACAGGGGCCTGACCTCATAACCAGCCCAGCCTCACACACAGCGCAGGGACATGCCATTCACCTGGGCATGGGGAGAGACAGCGTGTCCTGACACAGAGCCCCGACCTCACACACAGCCCAACAAACACAGAGCCCTGACCAATACAGAGCCCAAAACCAAAGAGCCCCAACCTCACACACAGCCTGCCCTGATACAGAGCCTTAACCAACACAGAGTTCACCCTGACACAGAGCCCTGACTTCAAACACAGCCTCACCTCACACCCAGTGTCCACTCACAGCCAGCCCCAATCCCACACTCAGTGTCCCCTCACACCCATCCCAAGCCCAACCACTGCTGCCTGAGGGAGCTGGCCCAGCCCCTCACACCCCACCTGGCCCTGTCCCACAGGTGTGCCCAGACCTCTGGGAGGTTTTACTGACTTCCCACAGCACCTGCAACCTGTCCCAGGCCAGGCCAGCCAAGGAAAGGCCATTCCTGAGGAATTCCTTCCCCACAGAGAGTCCTGAATTCCCTACACCTGTATCATCCCCAGAGGTAACACCCCAGACAGATAACCCCATACAGAACCATCTCCACCAACAAAATTCAGCACAATTCAGCACAACTCAGGCTGAGTTCCCCTTCCAGGAGGGCCATGGAGCTGCTCAGAGCCCTGGAAACACCCAGAGCTGTCAGTGTCACAGAGCCCCACGTGTCAGTGTGACAGTCCCTTGGTGTAGGGATGTCAGATCATCCCCAGGGTGGCACAAAAGGGAGAACATTGGATCAGCCCAGCAGCCTGGGCTGGTGGAAGGTGTTTCTGCCCATGGCAGGGGTGAAATGAGATGAGCTTTAATGTCCCCTCCCACCCAAACAATCCCCATGGCTGGCTCCCTGGGTAAGAAGTTATTTACAGGGTTCACTTTTGCTCTGCCCAGGTATGTGTTCTTTTATTGTATTTACTCCCACCTGGGCCACACAACACTTCAGAGCTGGGCCAGAGTAAATGCAGGAGCTTATAAAGCAACAAAATATTCATGGTAACATAAATTAAACAACCATCTCTGAGCCAAAGGGATTTTGTTTTGCTCTTACACATCCTGGTCTAAAACACGTGTGATGCAAATCCATTCCCAATCATCTCACACCTTCCTGTCACAGACATCTTTTATGAAAATCCTTTCCTTAGGATTTTTCCTCCTGAGAAGCTGGGAGGCCTCAGGAACAAAATGTAAACAATGATTTTCTGCTGCTGTAGAATGCAACAGGTACATCTGTGATTGGTCTCCTGTGATTGTTTCTAATTAATGGCCAATCACAGTCAGCTGGCTTGCACTCTCTGTCCAAGCCACAAGCCTTTGTTATCATTCTTTCCTATTCTATTCTAGCTAGCCTGCTGATGAAATCCTTTCTTCTATTCTTTTAGTATAGTTTTAATATACTATATATCTTAAAATAATAAATCAGCCTTCTAAAACATGGAGTCAGATCCTCGTCTCTCCCCTCACTCTCAGACCCTTGTGAGCACGGTCACACCTCCCCTCCAAGCCATCAGCAGCAGCATTTGCTGTGCCAGGAGTCAGGGCTTACCTCCAGGAGCTTGTCACCAACACGGACCCCTGCCCGAGCCGCAGGACCCTCCTCGGACACGCGGGAGATGAAGATGCCCTGCAAACAAAACCCTCAGTTCATGGAGAGCCCATTCCTCACCCCTCTGCAGGGCAGGGACCCCTCAGCCCCAGCCCCTGGCCAGTCCTGAACCCACAATGAGGGGAGGACATGGCAGCTCAGGAGCTGGGGAGAAGGAACAGAAACCCCAAGGTGACAAGAGGGGGACAGAAACCTCATGGCAAGGCTGCCCCAGGTGAGCCACAAGACCAGGGAATGACACCTTAACCCTCTTCCAGTGCAACTGGAATCACAGGATGGAGCTGATGCCACCAGCTGGGGAACAACCCCACACCCTGTGCCCCACAGCTGGGGAGGAACCCCTGNATAGTTTAACCAATAGATTGCTTAGCTTACAGAATATTCATAAGCTTATTACTGGCTGTATAAGTGTCTGATGCTCTCTTCAATAAACTGAACTTGCTTATCACTCATATTGAGTGTCTGAGTCTCCCCTCACCGACAAATGGCACGACCCCGGCAAAGGCCTCATCTCTGCGACAGGCTGTCACCCTGAGAAGGGCTGTCCACCCTGCAGGAGGCTGTACAGATCACCTGTGGACACAGCACATTCCCTGACAAGGGCTGTCACCCTGAGAAGGGCTGTCCACCCTGCAGGAGGCTGTACAGATCACCTGTGGACACAGCACATTCCCTGAGAAGGGCTGTCACCCTGACAAGGGTTGTCCACCCTGACAAGGGCTGTCACCCTGAGAAGGGCTGTCCACCCTGCAGGAGGCTGTACAGATCACCTGTGGACACAGCACATTGCCTGAGAAGGGCTGTCACCCTGCAGGAGCACACACTGTCTGCTCTGTGGTGCCCTGACCCCCAGGGCACCACTGACCTTGACCCTCATTCATGGAGAAAGTTTCCCGGACTTCAAGATAGACAAGAATCCAAAAAAGTGTGAAATAGATTATAGAGAGCAGTGTAGGTGTATCACTGGGTGAGAAATTGAGGTTTTGGGATTTTTAGTGTGTTGTGGATGGAAACAAGGTGGAGGGCACAGGGTGTCATCCTGGGTTTCTTCTTCATGCTTCTTCTTCCTTCTCCATGGGTTTGGGTGGCATTTTGTAATTGGGCAGAAAAGTCCCCANGTTGCCTTATAGTACAAGAGTTCTTTTATCATTATGGTGCAAGTATTCCTTATCACCAGGGTTTCATACCTCCTCGATGTTTGTTGTAGGCAGCTCCTCTAAGCACTGACTGTTCCTGGTCCTTGCAGTAGCCAACTGACTCCAGATCCCACCAATCCACTCTTTTATAATACTGTTCTTATTTGCTACAGGTGTGGCCTGTTAACATCAGGCGTGCTCCTAACCTTTAGTAATTAACCCAGCTGCAACTCTTTAGGGGATAAGATTACATTCTGTACCACCTTGATTTACCCATACTGTATCCCCCTGTACGTGTTCTGCTAAGGTTAAAACAAAAACCAAACCAAAACCCCTGCAGGAAATGTGGGACAAGCTGAGTGCTCTGCTCTACCAGCTCCTCTGGTGTCCAGCTAACAGCACAGCAGAACACTGAGGGATCTTCCCAGGGAAATCCCTGATTCCAGACCTGCCACCAGCTCACTGTCTCTGTGCAAGAGCCAGAAACTGAGTCAAATTCCAAGTTTTGGAATACCCAAGCAAGACAGAAATGGGGTGGTGAGGAGGCAGCACCAAGACAGCCCAACTCAAACCAGCTCCTGACCAGACAATGCTTCTTCCATGATCCTATTAGGAACTAACTACAAAACCCACATTTTTCCACCCAGACTCACTGGACTCTAGGAATGCCCTAAAGATTCACATCTGTACTGTCCAAGGAGTGCTCAGACCATGCTCTCAGGCACAAGGGAGGGTTTCTGGGGCTGCTCTGTGCAGGGCCAGAAGCTGGACTTGAGGATCCTGGTAATCAGGAAATTGTGTAGTTCTATGTTCAACACAGAAGTTTCTAAGATTGACAGCAATCCAGGGCTTCAGGCAAGACTTACAGGAATTTACAGGAATGACAACAAACCAGGGCTTTAGGCAGAGATTACAGGATTGACAGCAAACCAGGGCTTCAGGCAGGGACTGCAGGAATGAGAGCAAACCAGGGCTTCAGGCAGAGATTGCAGGAATTTACAGGAATGACAGCAAACCAGGGCTTCAGGCAAGGATTACAGGAATTATAGCAAACCAGGGCTTCAGGCAGGGATTACAGGAATGACAGCAAACCAGGGCTTCGGGCAGGGATTACAGGAATTATAGCAAAAAAGGAATGACAGCAAACCAGGGATTACAAGAACTATAGCAAACCAGGGCTTCAGGCAAGGGTTACAGGACAGCAAACCAGGGATTACAGGATTGACAGCAAGCCAGGGCTTCAGACAGGGATTACAGGAATTATAGCAAACCAGGGGTTACAAGAATGACAGCAAAGCAAGGATTACAGGACAGCAAACCAGGGCTTCAGGCAGGGATTGCAGGAATTACAGCAAACTAGAGCTTTAGACAGGGATTACAAGAACTATAGCAAACCAAGGCTTCAGGCAGGGATTACAGACTGATCTAAGAGCAGGATCCTGGTGTTTCCCAGGTCTGCTTAGTGCCCAGATCCATTGGACAGGATCATGATTTTGGACAACAACGGAGGACTGTCTGATGTCACTGGTCACAGAATGTCACTTCCAGCTGCATGGGAAGCTGATGCTGTAAACTAACAGAAAGATATGCCACAAACCCCCTGGATTTCACAAGAAACCACCTGGATTTCACAAATTCAGCAAACCAGCCTAGAAATAGGGGGAAACCTGCCAGAAAAATCAACTGGCCTGAGGGGGAAGAACCCTCTGTCCATCAATGTTCACTGAAAAGCAAAACCCCAAGGAGAAAACAGGCCAGATTAAAAATGCTGAGACAACTGCAGCAAAGGGGCTTGAATTAGATATAAATACATGTAGGCTGAAAAGATTTCAAACTCCCAAGAAAGCCACACAAAATCCAGTGTGGTGAGACTGGTGGATGTTTCTTTGAGTTACTATGTGTGGTGGTTTGACCGTTCAAACCATGACACTATGCAAACAGTAACTGATGTGAACATGAACCTCAAGAAGAAGGACCTGGATCCAGCAGCCTGGAATGGCCCTTCACGCTGCAGCTCAGGCTATTTCTGGCTCTAAGGTTTGTTTGTTCCCCAAAACTCCTCTTTCCTATGGCTGTTCTGGGGCTGCCTGGACTGCCACAACACCACCCAGAAACCACTGAAGCCACAGCACAGAGCAGCAGGGACAGCTCAGCTCCCTCCTTGCCATTGCTCCTGCCATGGATTTCATGGGGCATTTTATCCTTTGTGTATTTTACCCTTTGTGTATTTTCCCCCAAAGGCAGGGATCCACCCACAGCCCCTCTCAGATGATCTGACCTGCGCTGTTTCTCACCAAAATTCACTGTTTCTTTCCCTGCAGGAAGCACAAACCTTCATGGAGAGCACACCATGCTCCCAGGTCTTCACAGGAACAGCCCTGCAGGAAAAGTGCTGCAGTGCCAGGGGAAAATGGGGAAATTGGAAAAGCTGCCACACTTTGAGCTGCCATGTCGCAGACATCTTTTATGAAAAATGCTTTTTTTAGGATTTTTCCTCCTGAGAAGCCATGAGGCCTCAGGAACAAAATGTAAACAATGGTTCTGCTGCTGTGGAATGCAACAGGTGCATCTGTGATTGGTCTCATGTGGTTGTTTCTAATTAATGGCCAATCACAGTCAGCTGGCTTGGACAGAGCGCCGAGCCACAAGCCTTTGTTATCATTCCTTCTTTTTCTGTTCTTAGCTGGCCTTCTGATGAAATCCTTTCTTCTATTCTTTTAGCATATTTTTAATGTAATATATACCATAAAATAATAAATCAGCCTTCTGAAACATGGAGTCAGATCCTCGTCTCCTCCCTCAACCTGAGAGCCCTGTGAACACGGTCACACTGCCATCCTTAGCCCTGGGATCCCACTGGGAACCCATTCACCGTCAGTGGCACCAAATACACCCAGCAGTTCCACCTTGTGCCCTCAGTCCTGCCTGTGCCTCTTTGGGGACACACCAAACATGACCCAGGGCCACCTCAACCCAGTTCTCATATGGCTTTTGGTGTAACTGTCTTTTAACATGGAATCATGGAATAGTTTAGGTGAAAAATGCATGTATTTTATCATTGGCTTTTCCCAAATATTAAAATTAATATTATATGTATTGTGTTAGAAAGTAATGCTGTATTAATTCTCTTAAGTACTGTGTTAAATATAGTTTTAGGTTATAACAAAATGTTAAAATAGAAACGATGCTTTGTAGGATACTTTTTTTAAAGAAAGGACTCGCAGCAAAACAGCAGCCACAGGACACCTGAATCTTTCAGAGAGAAAGAACGTATTGCTCCCTTATCAGAAGAAATGAACTTCTTCCTGCCTCTAAGGCGCTGTTAGGATTAAGAGGAAGAAGTTGACGCTGCCCAGACAGAATCCTGTGTTTGAATGGAATTTATGCATCATGGATGAGGGATATGAATATGCAACGGGCTGTTGCTTTTAAGGGTTAATCCTCTTTTAACGTGGGTCCTTTTTCGGGCTCCTGCTGCCCAGAAAGAGGTACCTGGACTGTCCCTAACTCTTTGTTTTTATTGTCTAGTATTGTCCTAATCCAAATTGTCCAAATTATTATTACTCTAATTGTATTCCTATTTTTATAACCATTTTACTACTCTTAAACTTTTAAAATTTTAAAAACGAGTGATTGGTGTTTTTCACAGTTTGGGTGGAAGGGACCCTAAAGCTCACCCACCTTTCTCTGTTATCAGACTCAGTGCTCCTGCAGAATTCCCAGCTTTCAGCAGCAGCTGCACACACCAGAGCTGCTGCACACCTGGGCAGATTCACTTCCAGGCAGCAGCCAGGGACATCTGGGGGCTGCCCAGCAGATTTGGGGCAGCCTGAATTCGCTGCTGTGCCCTGCAACTCATCCCTGAGGATCCCTGCAGCCTGCCAGGGGCACAGCAGGCACCAACCATGGCATCCCTGGAGGTGTGCAAGGAAGGACTGGATGTGGCACTCAGGGCTCTGGGCTGGTGACAAGGCGTGGATCAGTCAGAGGTTGAGCTTGATAGTCCTAGAGGTCTTTTCTAACCTAAAGAACTCTTCTGCTCACCTTGGGCACACAGAGCTGGGACAGGGAAGAGCAGGATCTGGAGTCACTCCAGGGACAGAACTCAAGGGACAATGCTCAAAGCTGCTGAAAGACCAAGTTCTTCCTCCAAACACACCCACAGGAGTGGGGCTCAAGGGCTTCAATCCAGAAGATGGAGAGACATCAATGGTTCTACAAGTGGATGCACACAGCTGGGCTCAGTTTGGGGCCCCTCAGAACCAGAAAGACATTGAGGGGCATCAGCAAGTCCAGACCCAGGAAAAGAGCTGGGGAAATGCCTGGAGCACCAGAAGCAGCTGAGGCAGCTCCAGGGGGCTCAGCCTGGAGGAAAGGAGGCTCNCAGTCCCTGTGGACCCTTTCCCAAACCTGAACCCTTTGAGCACAGGATGCTCCAGGACCCCTGTGCTGCCACATCTGCTGCTGGCAGATCCTAGCAGGTGCCAGGCTTCAGGCTGGCATTCCAACACAAATGGTGCCATTCCTGAGTAGTTTCCACAGGATCAGGCTCCTTCCCTGCCTGCAGAACAACAGGATGTGACACCTGAGCAGCAGCAGCAAAGACATCCAGCACCTCTGGATACCTTTTTTCCTTCCCAGGGAGTGGAAAGGCAGCTCCTGCTGTCCCTGGGCAGAGTGAGACACAAAATCTGGTCCGTGTCTCCAGCAGGAGAAGCTTTGGCAGCACAGAGCCCTTTGCACCTCCTGTCCCTGCAGGGGCTCTGCAGGACATGGGTCAAGGCTGGGCACACCCAAGGCTGTGGATGGCACCAGCCTTTGCCACAGCAGAGCAGCCTTGGCCACTGGAACACAGTTTGGGACCCTCCTTCCACTGTTCTGTGCACCCTTGGGACCCTCCTTCCANATTCCCTGACTCTCACTGTCCAATCCTCACATTTACATGTCCCAAAAGATTTATTTGAGAGTGTCATACTGACACAGGAGATGCACACTGCAGTATTTGATTTGGATTTATCATGGGACAGAGTCCCTGACTCTCAGTGCCCAATCCTGGTGTTTACATGTCCCAAAAGATTTATCTGAGACTGTCACACTGACACAGGAAATGCACACTGCAATAAGTGATTTGGATTTATGGTGGGACAGATATGTGACAAGGGGCAGTTGCCATGTGAAGGTGAGGGATCCCACTTCAACAGCAGCAGAAGAATCCATAAAATATCATCAATAACCTTTTCAAAAATCAAAAGGGCTGGACAACTTGTGTTCAAGAATCCAAACATTTGCCTGAGATCCTTATAGAGCATTTCCGAAATTCTGGGCTTTTTGCACTCTGAGACCCAGAGGGATTCCTGTGACCATCAGCTCCTCACCCAGACACCACTCCAGGAGTAACTGAGGGACACATGTGGCTATTAGCAGGTACCAAATGGCTCTCATGAGGAACAGCTGAATTCTATGAAAACCAGGTCCCTCAAAAGCCAAATTATTTCATCCTGAGAAGACTCCAGAATTGGCTGATGAAGGTTCACTTTTGCACAAGCAGACTTGTGCAGAACATGGAAGCTGTGCTCCAAGAAAGAACCAGGTAAGAGCCATCAGGAGAGAAACAAGAATTTGGGCTCTGTCAAGATCTGTCAGGTGTGGCTTTATTCTAAAGCAGAAAGAATTGAAATAATTCCATATGAGGGGAGGCTGGGGGGCCTTCCAATTCAGGAGGGGGAGACAGACCCTTTTTATCTTTTCATGGCATTAATAACTTTATAGGAGATGGTTATTCCATGTTTGTAATCACAAAAGAATTAGGGATATTCAGTGGAACTCAGTAAGATACCAAGTGAAATATCAGTGGCAGGCTTAAAAAGCATTTTTGGATATAAAGCTCAAGTGAATTAATAATTGATTGCCACTAGATTCTGTGGCACTGAAATGTATAAAAGGAATGGGAGAGGATCAGACAGAACCATGGATGGCAGCCCCATGGTGCCTCATACCTGGGCATGAACACAACCCACAGAGTGCCAGGAGCTGAGCACCCACCAGGGGAAGACCCCTTTGTCCTGCTGGGTCTGGGCCCCTCAGCTCCTGTCACTGTGCTCTGGCACACGTTCAGTCAGTGCAATACGACACAACACACTGGTTTAACTGTCACACTACAGCCTCAGGGTTTAGGCTGGACGTGAAGAAGAATTTCTCCCCAGGAAGGGCCCCCAGTTTGTAACTGTCACACTTACAGCCTCAAGGTTTGGGTTGGACATCAGGAAGAATTTCTCCCCAGAAAGGGTCACAGGCATTGGCTGCTCAGTGAGTGACAGAGTCACCATCCCTGGAGGTGTTCAAGGCATGACTGGATGTGGCACTCAGGGCTCTGGGCTGGTGACAAGGTGTGGATCAGTCAGAGGCTGAACTTGATGGTCCTGGAGGTCTTTTCTAACCTGAATAACTCTGGGATTCTGCTCAGCTTGGATGCACAGAGCTGGGATACGGAAGAGCAGGAGGCACTGATTCACCAGGAAAGATGAGAAGAGCTAAATCTGTCTGGCTTTGGTCACTGACAGCTCATGGGGACACAGAGACAGGCTGAAAATAACAGTGAGCAAAAGGGAGATGGGACTGGCTGCTGAGAGCTAAATTAACCCCAGGCAGTGGGAAAGGAACACAAAGGAAAGCAGCCCTGGCAGGAGAGCAGCCCCTGGCCATGGGCTGGAGGTTTCCTGGCTCTGACATTATTCCTTCCCCTGTTCCAGGAGGTTCAGTCTCAAAGGGTGTCAGGAGGGCAGAGATGGGGGGCATGGGGCAGGGGAGTTTGAGCCCTTCCAGGGCAGAGATGGGGGCACAGGGCAGGGGAGTTTGAGCCCTTCCAGGGCAGAGATGGGGGGCACAGGGCAGGGGAGTGTGAGCACTTCAGGGGCAGAGATGGGGGGCACAGGGCAGGGGAGGCTGAGCACTTCCAGGGCAGAGATGGGGGGCACAGGGCAGGGGAGTGTGAGCACTTCAGGGGCAGAGATGGGGGGCACAGGGCAGGGGAGGCTGAGCACTTCACTGACATCACTCCACTGAGCACCTCCACAAAACCAGAGCAAAACAAAACACAGTGCAGAGCACAGAACCCCAAAGGAGATCTTTGACAGCAGCAAAGGAAGGGACAGGGACCTGCCACAGCCCCACTGGGAACAGGAACCTGCCACAGTCCCTGATCTGGGGACAGCAGCACTGGGAGCAGATGGGACAGGGACCTGCCATGCTCAGGGTGCTGCTCTGCTCCAGCACATCCCTTCCCCAGGATACTTGAGGACAGTAACCACGTTTCCCAAAGGACAAGGGAAGCCAGGATAGGATGCCTTTTTGGAACCGGGAATACGGTCACATTTGCAGCACCAATAAAACCCAGGGCTCCTACAGCCATGTGAACATTCACACATCATGTGAGCCCCCCTCTGACAGCTGTGTGTGTGCCAGGGCTGCAGATCCACATCCAGATCAGTGCTGCTGTGTGTCTGTACAAAGGCCTGACTTCATCCTGGGGCATGGGAGAAATGTCTGCAGTGACACAGTCCTCCACTGGGACAGGCTGGGGCTGAGAGCCTCACCAGGGCTCCTTCCCTCAGTCCCTGGGGCTGTCCAGGCCCCTGGGCTGCTCTGTGATTCCAGGATTGGTTATTTCATTAATGAACTGCACAAAACGGGACTCCAGGATTGGTTATTTCATTAATGAACTACACAAAATGGGACTCCAGGAT